TGCCTTAAGCAATTTATAGAGTTCACTGTTTTCAGATGCTTATTATTTAGGGAAGAGCAACAATTTTCTTCAAACTATCTAAAGTATTAATTTACCTGAATATCCATTTCTATAGCACATTTTTTCTTGGTATTGCAGAGTCCTTAGATTTGAGATCAGTTGTGAAACATTAAGAGAATCCCCAAAGTTTCAATTAGCAAGAATTTTCATGGCAGACTAAAATTGAAAACTACTCAGAAATCCAACAACATTACAACAAATGTGATACACAATGAAACATGAAAAAATGAGAATGAATAATTGACAACGACCACACAATACACTGAGTAAAAGAAGTCAATTAGCCAAAACTAATCTGTGATTGCCTTTTTGGGAGACTGACTAAAAGGGGTACAAGAGAGACTTCTGAGGCACTGGTAATATTCTGCTTCTTCATCTGGGTTCAATTTGTGAACTTTATGCTTACAAATGTATGTGTGTGATACTTGAATGTTTAAAATGATTATTTAATATTAGTCTCTCCCTAAAATTCATCTGTTGGTTTTCTTTTTTTTTTAGGGTACATTGTTACAGCATCCCAAATCAACTATACATCACCGAAATGTGAAACAATCAAAAACACATGTATATTTAGAAAATTTGTCTTTTAAGTAGGATATTTTTAAATATGAAAGACAACCTCAAATTTTAGGAACATGAAATATTAAAGTTTATGTATCATAATATACTTGTTATATAATATAAAACTACGGAAAGGTGCATTATTCAAAGACCTTTTCAGCAAGGTGATTTGTCAAAAAGTAGAATAAATGTGAATGAGTAAACTAATAATTTCTTGAATGACAAGCTAAACACAAGCACTAATACATTTCTAATACAATTTTAACAATTGTATTATTACAGATAAAGAGACTCAAACACATTTTAGAGAACTTTCTAAAAATAGTCTACTTAAATAGGTCTAAATTATATTCACTATTTTAGATTTTCAAAAATCAGGTAAGGGAAAGCTCATTGTTTCACTTAAGATTACCAGTAGCATCAGTACTAAGGTCATTAAAATTCTTAGGCTTTCAAATATGGAGAGGCCATGAAATAAAAACTAGCAAACACTTTACATATGAATTATGTATCTTGTCTTAAGAGTAGTTAGAAGTAGGCTGTAGTTGTAGCTCAGTAGTAGAATGGTTGTCTGGCATATGTGAGGCACTGGGTTCAATCTTCAGCACCACATAAAAATAAATGAATTAAATAAAGGTAAGAAAAAATAACTTAAAAAAAAGAGTAGTTAAAAGTACAAACATCTATACTGCAAGTAAGAAAACTTTGGCAGCTATTAGGTAATTCAACTAATATACTGATACTAATCTTCTATTTTATAAATGTTTAACCTCAAAATATAGATGCCAATACTAATAGTATAATTTATATCACAGACTAGGGAATTCATTGGCATAATGTATATCACAGAATCAATGAAGCAATTACTGAATACATACAAAACTACAAATAATTTCAAAAAAATAAAAAAGAGAAAGGCGTTGCTTTCTCCATTGAAAAAGGTTTATTAACATTTTTATTCCAAGACAAAGCTAGATTAAATATATTAGAAATTACCTTGACAGCCACTCCTTTGCCTTCAGGAAATTCTAGAAGATGAAAAGTCAATTCTTCAACTCTAGTAATGCAGAGCTTTGGGTCAGCTGTTCTTCTTAATGCCTGGACCAATGCCCGGGTTCTGTTATCAATACTCACTCTTGCAATAATCTACAAAGACATAACATACATACATAATATATTTAGAATATGAAACTGTTCTAACAAATAGCTAATGTTTCTTAGGTTCTATTAGGAAATGAAACTTAAAAATCTGACAAAAATTAACACAATCAAATCACAGTGAAAAACACTTGCCTTTTCTCGCTGAAGAGATAAGTGTTTTTTCTCCTCTGCAGTTTTTTCTTTGCTGACAGCCTGCTCAGTTTTAGTAGGATCTTCCTGTTCTTCTGGCTGACTCTTCGAATCATATTTTAATTTGGGGACAAGTCCACCAATATAACCACCTACCAAAGCCTGAACACCTTCAGTGGGTCGAGAAAGAAAGTTAGCAATACTTTGCTTAGTAGATACTGGAAGAACATCAGGCATTCCACTCTGACTTGTAGGCTTGTCCACAGTATCTATGGAAGATCCAGAGCCTGGCTTATCAGTCAGGATGCCAGGATCTGGAGATATGGACTTCTTTTCTTGAGTCTTTTCACCTTCAAGTTCGGATTTGACCTGAAAATGTTTATTTTCCTTTTTTGGAGACATTTTTTCCTCACGTTTGAAGTATGAATTAATATGATTTGATAAAAAGTAGAATGACTCTCCAAATTTTGTAGTTATGCTAGTTGAGTAACGAAAAAGGCTTTGTTTACCTAAATCTTCTTTATCTGTAATGTGACTTTTCTCTTCTGCAACAGGACTCTTTTCTGCTGATTTATCACTATATTTTTTCAGAGATTTGATGGCTTGTTTAAAAGTTTTCTGTTTTAACCAGTCACCATCTGATACTTTTCTTAATATTCGAGAACTTGGCTTAAATTGAGCTAAACGTGAAATCATTTCATCGTGATTGCCAAAAACAGCCTTTGAAACAGAGTTCAAAGTACTTTTAATACGGGACATATGAATGCTTACTTTTGTAAGTCCCTTAGGAGCAGAAGTACTAAGTTTCAAAATTCCAATATGTAAACCATGGTTGCTTGGGGAGTAATAGTGCTTACTCCAAGAATAAGCTTCATTTTTGGTCCATTTACATCTTACTTTGCTGGCATGGAAACCTCTTTGTAGACTGATATGGCTTATCCTCCAGAAATGTTTAGGTAAACACCCAAAAAGCAGCTGCTTGCTTCTCTGCTTCCCACAAAGACTTCTTGCATTACTAAGGAGGTAAATATATATATCTATAGTCAAACTAAAAGACATAACTTAAAAATCATTTATTTTCTATATGACATTCTCTCACTTCATTTGTGAATGCTTCATTTAAGAAATGCCATAATTCATGGTCTTACCTAAAATGGCAAACACAAAAAAAAAAAAAAACGAAAAGAAAAATTAGGATTTAAGTTAAAATCAAAATTGAGTATAATATAAAATTTGAACCATACTTAGCAAACTGCCTCAAAAGAAAAAAGAATATATTTCCAATATAGCTGATACATATTTCACTTTTAAACTAATAGAAAATAATTCCCCTTGTTAGCTTGAGTAATAAGATGTTTAGAAAAAAGCTAATCTAGGAAAGTTTCCCAATAGGTAGATTTTTCTTCTACAACACATAATTTAATATGCAATTTAGACATTATGCTATTTTTTCTTCCTATTGTTAATTCTTTGATTAGTTTATGTGACACCAGACTTTAAGTGCTTTGAAGACAAGACCAACTATCAGAGTGAATAAAACAAAACAAACAAAACCCAACTATGTTGTTTGTAAAAAACCCATTTTAAATATAAAGACACATAAAGATTAGAAAAATATGCCATGCTAACACTAATCAAAAGGAAGCAAGAGTAGGTATGTTATTTTCACTCAAAAAGGAAAACACATAGAATCAGTAAGGACAGTTTCACAACACCATCAATCAACTGGATATAACTGACACTTTTAAACTACTAAATCAGAGAAAAATACACATTCATACCATGCCTATATGGAACATTCACCAATAAGGACAACATTCTGGGTCATAAAAAACAACAGAACATAGATTATATAATGTCTGTTCTTAGACCACATGAATTAATTAAAATATAAATTAATAACAGAAAGATAACTGGAAGCCTCAAAATATATAAAGACACAGAGAGAAAGCGAAAGAAACATGAATTACTACCTCAAAAATGAAAGAAGGAACATGACTATCCAATGGACTTTGGAAGGATAATACAGAAATATTATGAATAACTATATGCCCACAATTTTGATAATCTAGATGAAATGCACCTATTCCTTGAAAGACACAATCTGCCAAAACTCACACAAGAAGAAACATACAATCTGAATAAGCCTATATCTATTAAAGGAATTGAGTTAATAATTAAATAACATTCCAAAACAGAAAACACTAGGTTCAGATGGTAGCAAATAAACACATGTAAACAGAGCAAAAGCATGTAAAAAATCCACTATGAGTACACTAAGAAATTGTGCAGTAGTACAGTTTTACTGTAGGACCTAGTGAGATTACAGGAGGAGAAGGTAGAAGATGATACTGAGGAAGACAAAACTAAGAACCTATTGTCATTATCCAGATAATAGTCTCAAATAATATTATTTTAAAACATTTATGGGAAAGGACATGGGAAAGGACAGAAAAAAATGTAAACCTGTCTGCTTTGTTGGCTCATCTGAACTTGATTTGCAGACAATGTGAGAAAACAAGTTAATAGGAAAGCCCTTGATAAAATATATTTAAACTACTTTTAGATAAAAATTCTTACCAATGGAGGAAAATCTACAAGTTGAACTTGAGGTCTGGGCATATAGTCACTACCCTCATGGTGCAGAGACCCTAACGAAACTGGTCAGCTGGTGACAACTGGAATTCCAAGTCAACTGAAGCCACCAAGTAAAGACACTTCCAAAGCCCAGGGCAACTAGACTCCCACACTAAACAATTACCATTGAATGTAAGCACGGAGATTACAAAACATGCAAGGAGATGAACTGTCACCTACAGAGAGGATCAGCAAATGCAGCCAATAAGAAAATGTGCAACCAAGATTCAGAAATACAGAAAAAATAAGTAGATTTAAAATGTTCAGAGATATATCAGAAGCAAAAATAAAGTGAACAAAAGACAGATAAAAAGTGAAAAGGAAGAGCAAAATTTTGGGATGCTACATGCTAGTTTTGAGACCCACTTATAATCTAATGACAAAATAGGTAAATAAAGGATTGAGGGGAAATTATGTAAAAACCAATATAAAGGACATAGTCTTAAGGCAGTTTAAGGGAAAAGCATTACATAAACATAAAAAGGGGGAACTATATAATAATAAAAAGAACGAGCCATTTACTTATTAAATTTCAGGTAGTCTTGTGGGCCAACACAATATTTTAGAAAATAAAAAAATAACCACTAATAATGTATATCATCAGAATGAGATGTGCTATGAATTAAAATAAAGCAGGAGGTAAGAGAAGAAGGGCATAGAGAATACTATTTTAGAAGTATAATTAGAAGTGAGTTGACATTTTACTAGAGGATCTTATGTGAGGAAGTAAATTATTAAGAGAATCTAGGGGGAAAACTTTCTAAGAGGAAAAAGCAAGCAAAACTTTGGAGACAGTAATTAGCCTTCAGTAAAACAGCATGCACAAGGTGGATGAAGGGAAGTTAGAAAGAGGATTAATCATTGAGATGAGTTCAAGATTGAGGCGAAGACAGAGCAATGTAAGCCTAGACTGTGATTAAGAAGTGTGCATTGTCTCTTTCCAAAAAGATTTAATCATCATGAGTTATCATAAAGGTATCTTTCAACTTTGCATAGAACTATAGACTATAAAGGGGAAAAAAAAAAAGAAGAAAGAAAAGAAATGGAAACCACAGCAGGCGAATGATTTTATGATCCAAATGAGGGATTTTAATATACTCCTCTCAGAAAACTATGACTATCAAGCAAAAATTACAAAACTTAGAGGATGATCAACAAGTTTAACTTGTTACCAAATGCCAACACTAGAAATTCAAGGTAAATATTTTGAGAGTAAATTCAGTCAAACCTAAGTCAAGAGTGCAAAAAATGGGGAAAATAATTCAAAGTTCCATCATCAGTGAGAAAAGAATAACAAATACAGAGGCGGTAAAAATACAATGGAGGCTTATATAAAAGAAGAAGCAGGCGAAGTGGCACACACCTATAATCCCAGCAGTTCCGAGGCTGAAGCAAGAGGATTGTGAGTTCAAAACCAGCCTCAGCAATTTGGTGAGACCCTGTCTCTAAATAAAAAAAAAAAAAGGCTGGAGATGTGGCTCAGTGGTGAAATGCCTTTGGGTTCAATCTCCAATATAAAAAAATAAAAACAAATAGAAGAGGCTTAGATAGAAATGGAGTTTTAACTAAAGGAATCAAGGGATTTGCCAGGAGGAGGTCCATATTGAAGTCTAAGAATGAATTACAGATGTTATGCAATCATTGCAATAATGTAGCCAAAAAGGTAACAAGGGTCCTAGCTAAGTAATAGTATTGGAATGGAAAAGAGGGCTACTGTAAGCCATATCTGGTAACAAGTCAAGGAAACTAATTGAATAATGAAACACAGGATTGGTGACACCAAGAATGGGATATGGAGAAGTAGGTGTCAAGAGAACTGACTTATGGTTCTAAATCAGACACAGAGGGAAAATACCATTTGCGAATATGAGAAAACTAGGAAAGAGCTAAATTTAATATGAGGGAAAAATGAATTTTCTTTTGGATTTACAGAATGCAAGTTGGGGTATATAAATTAAAATGTACCTAGACTGTGGATTCACGTGTGGAATTATCAGCACGTGACACCTGAAACCATTAGACTACACAGATTTACCAAAGGATAGTTTACGGTATATATTACCTGAATATTCTTGAACCTGATAAATGCTCCTCTTTATTGAAAATGCTTACTTGCAAATATACATTATATCTTCTGAGACATTTCAGAAATATTCCCAGACCTACTATAGTATTCCTTGGGTTTCAAATATCAAAGCTCTGGCTTAGAGAGAACAACATGTGTAGTAGAAATTTGAGTGACATTCAGGTTTAGGAAGAGAAAGAAACGCCCTCCAAGGAAATGAGAGAGCATGGGAGAAAAGATATCCTCCAAAATTCAGGAGCAACTTTTAAAAAGTAATGGACATTAAACAGGATAAAATACAAGATAGAAGAGAGAAAGTTCAAAGCAGAGAAATGACAGGACAGGAAGGTGTCTAGGGCCTAGAATTCTAACTCTGACCTTTTTATAAATATATGTTCCACAAGTGAAGCAACGTCCATGCTTCAGCACAATCCTTGTCTCAATTAAAGGAAAAAAACAACTCAAAGTACAAACTGTACTTGAATCAACTCTGCATATGAAAACAAGTGAACATATAAATTAGTGAAACTGATCCAGCATCCAACATCACTAATGAAAAGGACACTACTTAAAAGATTTTATTTTAGATCTCAGAAAAATAAGATCAACACTAAAGTTTAATTAATAAAAATTATGAAATAACATGTTCTTATACTGAAAGTAACACTAATCTGCATAAGAAATTTAACAAAATAGCTAAAATGAGCTTGATACAACTACTTCACACGCATAAACTAAGTTTACAGCTTACTGTACTTTTTAAAAATTCTCAGATTTTAAGGTTCTTTATATTACATTATTTTAATGACTTTTTCTTGAGATCCTGAAACATACTTTTGTCATTTTTGACATCTCAACAATTAGGATCCAGAATACAACTGTTCCTGGAAATAAAAATAGTATTTTTAAAACTACTATATGGTAGTCCCTTACGTCACGTCTCTGCTGACTCTTGAAGAGTCACCACTTAGAAAAGTTATCATTGTACTAGGGTGGAACCAGGTTCCTCTCAGCATAATCACAGAAATGGCAAAAAGGTAGGAAGTATTGCAATAAAAAAAAAAAAAAAAGACACGCACTTGAATCCGCTTAAGCAGTAGAAGCAGGCAGTGACGGGGCCAAATACGGGTGGGGCGAAAAAGAAATATCTAGCAATAAAAGCACGAGGTATACAGTGACAGTCAAGATCAATGTAAAACAGAGAAGTTGTTTTTGAGAGTCACCAGGGACCTGCTGGAGAATACTACAATCCAGCGGAGACAGACTCCGCGAAACTGGCAAATCGCAGGGGTGGGACAAGAGGCGCAGGGAGGGATTAGCGAAACCAACCGCGTCCGAGACAGCAGCACCCGAAGAAGCAGAGAAGGGCAGGCGGCGCTGTGCACCAGTCAGCCCATGGACCCGCGGCCCCTTCCGGACCCGGCTGCCACTGGGTGCCTGGATGCTGGGACCTCCACGAAGCCGGGCATCTCCCCTGACTCTGAAGTGCCCAGGATAGAGAGGCGGAGGACTCCGTAGGCAGGCAAGTGCCCGGAGCGACCAGCCTGCCTCTCATCCCGTCCCCATCATCTCGCGGCCACTTACCGGGATGCAGGCCGCAATCACAGGCGACGGTGGATACTAGTCTCTTCCCGACATTGACGTCTACTCTGGCCGGCCCGCTTCAGCTGAGCTTCCAGCACAAACAAGCGCAGCAGCCGGAGCTCCACCCACTCAGCTCCGCCCCGCCCCAGCGGAAGTGACGCACAGGTCGTTCGGGTCTACCCGCCTGACAGCGTGCAGTTCCTCTGCCTCCCACCGGCACTTGCCCTCCCGGTCAATCTCGGCTTCGTCCCCGCCCTGAGGCATGCGCAATAGAGCGTGACAGCGCTAGCCCTGAAAGCCGCGGCAGAGGGGCTGGTGTGCACGCGTGCGTGCTTCCGGAGAGGCGTGGCTTGGCAAAGGGGCGTATTGGCATTATGGTCTTGTCTGGGTGCTGGACCTGAGCGAGACAGGTTTTGCGCCGTGTCGGATCTCAGAATAGAGTCCAGACTTGCTTTTGAGTCACCCGTACGAAATGTCACTTAAAAGCACTTTCACATACATTGTTGGAAGTTAGCAGATTCGGTCTCTCCCATGGTTAAGACACTGCTTTGGAATTCTGACATTTTATGTGTATCAAGTAGGCAAACTAGAACCCACAGCAGGTCTAGTGTTAACTATCAAAACTGTTAAATTCCACCTTCAACAATAGCCTTCTCAAGAGTGTC